ATTTATTCATGATGTTAGAAACAGTTCAAGAAGTCTTGATAGAAATGAATAAAAACCCTATAACCCGAGTGCTTTCGAAAGGGCTCGAGTTATACGGTTTTTAATGATTTGTTTAATGTATAATACAGCTTCAACATATGTAAACATGTTAGAAAAAATGTAAAATATGTTTAAATGATATATTTCAAAATAGATACTTTAATGAACTTGCATATATTTTTTGTTTAACAGTTTTTTTTCAAATAATAATGTTTAAAATTAACATGATTAGCATGATAGTTTTTTATATGCATGGATCCTTTTCTAGCTGCAGTTTACCCATGTTTTACTGAAGGAAAAGAAGGATTACAATATTGTGCTCTACATTTGACTATGAAGTTTTGCATTAATAACTGAATTTTACTAGATTGTTCATGTTCATTCACATATTTTCCGTTTCACGGCTATTATTAGCATTTAGCTTATGATTTAAGTTCCTTGTAGGTGTTTGTTTCTCTAGACTGAGCTTCACAGTTACTTAAAAGGAAGTTTCAATATTTCATTGCCTTGGTTAGATGTTCCAGTATTCTTGCTGTTAAGGAAAATGTAGATCTTCAAGTTTTGAGAGTGAACTATTTGTTGAAACAGATTTTTTTACTAAAATTAAAAAGCCAGTTACTGTTTTTTACAATAACATATGTTATCTTTATATATATTCAGTAGTTGTTTTTGAGATGTTAGCTGTTTAGATAGCTTTTGTTTTAGACCTACTTAGTATATCAAGAATTAATAAATTTGTACCTTAAATTTGTTGATATGTTATCCAAACATAGTATTTTCCTGTTATTATTGCTTTTTAGAGTTTGTGTTTGTTTTTTGATATAGCTACTGGATGTTAAGTGGAAAGTGGGGTTTTCTGTCAGCTCAGATGTCTGTCACAAAGTCAGTTCTCCATATGTTGTTTTGAAGTTTCAGACATGTCAGCCAGGTGGAGTTAACACCACAAGATGTGTTGAAATGACTATAGCTCAGTTTCAAGTAAGATACAATAGTCCAAGTTTTTAAAGAATATGTGTACGAGACTATTTTGTTATGTAGATTGTTAGTAAACAGTTCAAAAATAATAAATATGGGGTATAAATAAATGTTATGGAGTTTACAAACAGTTTTGTGGATACTGTGTTCTTACACTGGCACATCTATTAAAGTAATTAGTGATGATTAAAGACAATATCAATATATATATATATATATACTGCTTATTGCATATCATACAGAATTTTATCACCAGAACTTTCAAGCAGCTGATATCGTAGCTCTTGGTATGGGTAGGTCAAAGTGCACATGTCATGACTTTTGAGAGAGTTATATTCAAAATCATTATATTAGGTCTTCAAGAAATTAATGTTGCATTTTGGAACACTTTCATTAACCCCCTCCCCCCAAAAATTTACACCATGCATAATAGTTAAACAAACTGCCTAAACATCACATTAGTGTAGCCTATATAATGTGTAAAGTTCAGTATACTCTAATCCTTGATAGTGATGGCACACCATGAGACAAACATTTGGCATGTAATGCTGTTTGAATACAAGAAGGAAAACAATGGATCTTGAGCCACAAAGAATATCAAAGAAGTTTATGGAAATGTTTTGAACGTTTGTAAGTGTCAACG